GGGTCCCCCTGTGCCCAAGCCCAGGGAATTTTGCAAAATGCAAACATCTTCACTTTAACTAACATTATTAAGTAATTACTGACAGCTTTTAGCCTATTTCTTTCGTTTGATCCAATGCTGAACCCAGAACAAGAATACAACATTGATGAACTTTGGACAGGTAGAGACTTTTTTTACGCTCCCAAAGATAAATACATTAATTTTGATAGATCTCCAAATATAAATACAATAAATACAAAAACAGAGAGAACGCATGTATTATGTTACGTTTCGATAAATTATGTGTTACATTGCTGGACAATAATGGCGTTTTGCTGTACAAGATCAAATGCTGGATAGACTTTGAAAATACTGTAGAATACAGCGAAATGCTGTACGTATGGTCATCCTATTTTAGTTTTACTAATCTTAATAACTGTAGCCTGATTCAATTAGATGCTGTATTTGCTTCAGTGGCGGCTGTTGGATAAGTGCTGCAGTGCTCCCAAAAAAAATGCTAAATACATAATTTAACTCAAATATTTCTTACCAAAAATAAAATGTATAATATTATATTCGCATTGTAGTAATGATTAAAAAAACTGCTGGCGAAGCACCGGCATCGCTGGCGTCCTTGTACGTAAAGTCGACCAGTGGAATAACCTACCTACCGACACACACACACACACACAGGCTGTCACTGAACTATTATTTATCTGAGCCACATGATGGAGCTGTATGCGCTCTTTCAAACACCCGCGCGGCACTCCGCTACCCCCGCGCCCACGGTTAAAACAAACCGGTGATTTAAGTGGAGAGTCCGCTGCAATTAGTCCAGCGCAGCGCGTAATACGTACGGTGTCGATTTTTTTCACCATTTTTGAATTTACGGCTAGTTAAAGTTAAAAACAATACTTTTGAGGGTGCGTGTATTGTGTTTTTGTGTATTACTGACAATTATCTGTGTACTATGGAAGTGGTTTTTAATTTAATTAACGTAAAGAAATTTTTTGAATATACATACGAAGAAAAGATGTAATTAAAAGGAAAAGGTAGGCCATTTACCAGATATAATTATAGAAAAAACTAGTGTTAGTAGAGGAAAAAGTTACACACGAAAATTTAATAGAGATATTTATTCAAAAAACGAATGGATCTGTGGATGCAACAACAAAAATGCTCTGTACTGTTTTCCTTGTTTACTTTTTGGTGGCGATAAAGCTTGGACGGAAATAGGAGTCACCGATCTAGAACACTTAAGTTTAAAGATAAAGAACACGAAAACTCTAAAAGCCGTCTTCATAATTGCATGGAATTTGCTTTGCTAGGGACACTAATATTATGGCTCAATTAGATTATGCTTATTGGTTAAATATACAGAGACATAATGAAAATGTGTCAAGGAATAGGTATATTCTATCCAAAATTTAATTTAAGTTTAAAATAAATTGCGAATATCTGTTGAAATTTTTAGAATTAATATTTGGGATATTATTAATAGCTAAAATAAGTATTTAGAGCCCATAGATTACCTCATTCCGCCGGTAATATTGTATATTCTATGATACGACACCGTTTATTACCACCTCACCACCTACCAAAAGACTTTCCAACATTATACATTGTGGTGATAAAGTAAGGAACAAAATTCATAATTGTGGTATTTAATGTTTTCAAGCAAAAAGTTCAAACAGGTCAATTTTTTTTTTATTAGCCATCTTATGACAAATGTTTACTCATGACGTCACGTATGTTTGCACAATTACGTCACCACTGGTTTTTTAATCAACCCCATTGTTTGCTGTTTTTTATTAGATGGTTCAACTACTTAAATGATAGTGTAAAAAAATTGGTACCACCAATAACAATTTTTTTGAGAAAATAACACACCGTGAGAAATAAAAATGTAACTTTATTGGAAGAAAATATTAATTAAACCGCAAAAACAAACAAAATCTAGCGCGAATGTTCAAATTGCTCCCCACAACGTCATAAGTAAAAAATGTATGTTATAAGGTGGCTAATTAAAAAATTAAATTGACCTGTCGGAGCGTTTTGCATGAAATCATTAAATAACACAATTATTAATCTTGTTCCTTACTTTATCACCACACTGTATACGTTAGCTCGCATTGTCTAGTTATATTTTCATTTTATTATTTTTTAACAAAAAGGTAGTAGATATTCTAAGAGTTGGGACTAGTGGGAAATTCATGCAAAAAAATCATGAAACTTGCGATTGAAGAAACCGTACAATAAAGAGGTCACTAACTAGGGGTCAATTACACATTTGCGTTTTCGGTCAGTAAATACATAGTAAATACTAACATCACAGCCGAAACAGTTTTATAGCCTCTCATGTAATCCTTCTTAAGTCCTCTCCTAAGGTAGTTAAACAACAAATAGGAAAAAGATTTAGTGCAGATGGTATTATATTAAAAATACGGGAATAGTGGTAATTTCCCAAAAAAAAGAGAAAAGGCCTTCAGAATGGTTTTAAATATATTTTAAACTACAGCGGAAGTTGCACACGTCTCGAAATTGGGGCATTTTGTTTCATATATTCTTTTACAATTTTATTTTATTATTAAAATTTGGGCAGCCCTTTACTCTGGTGTGGATGATCATCAGCAAATAATTGAAAAACGGAATGCTACCAGTAATGTAAAAATGTAAAGTCTGTACTTTTAGTCGCAACAATCAAACGATATAACGTTTTTTTGGTAAAATCGATAGTTTTGGCGTACGAGCGCCCCAAAGTGTAGTTCAACACGCGTTTTGGCCAAAAAACTCATTTCCACACTACCTTCATGCAGAATAAGCGGCGCGTTTTTTTATCGTGGTTTCCCCACCCAGACAGCACACATAGTCCAATGGACGTCCACTTTAGATCCATTTGAGGGCCAGAACGTCCATATCCCTATTCGAACTTCGAACATCCATTGTTTATAATCATTAATTTGACAGCAGCATATCGATACCCAGTGGACGGCTGTTTTTGGACTTAATTTCAAGTTTAGTATTATTTTGACGTCCAGTGGACGTAGATCTCATTATTTATTTGGCCTACTAGATAATACCCATCTATACACTTACTTTTTTAATAGAATTGGTCATTAAAAATTGACAAATTGAATCTATTACATTTTATTCTATCAGCGGCAGTTTTAAATCTTATTCTATTATAAGCGTGTCTAGTCAGAATTTTTCAAGTGCCCAGACAACACACCAAATCCCAGAGATATCCACAAAATATCTTTTGTGGATATCCAATATATCCACAGGATATCAGAAATATTCCGTGGATCTAATATGGATATCTAAATGTCTGTCTATATCCAGAATATAGAAGATATCCTATGGATTATCCAGCAAAATATCTAATGGGTATCTTCCAGACAATACGAGAAATTCCAGAGATATCCACAGAATATATTTTGTGGATATCCAACCAAATGTCTGTCTATATCCCAGGATATAGAAGAATTCGGATATTCAGCAAAATATTTTATGGGTATCTTTAGTAGAGGTTCATAAAAGTAACCAATGTTTATTGAATAACGTCGAAAGAAAATAGCAGAGAAAAAATATTTTCAACACTCTGCCTTTGATTTTGCCCACTAAGGAGAAAGTCATCCTCATTAGGACTCTTCAGCAATAAATGGAAATTCTCGACTCCAGTCTCTAATGGAGTCTGATTGGGAAACAAATTTCGATCGAACTCAATTACGGGGGGTTAAGCATGAGTAGATGCGAAAGTGGTATCGCCATCTATACTTAGTAAGCAAAATCAAAAATTACATCTAGTGGATATCCACGATGGTTTGATTATTTAGTGGATGTCCATGGGATATTGAATACACCTTAAAAAAATAATTTTAAATATCTGAACGGTACTATTAGCCACAATGGCGAGCACAATGGCGTAATTTTTTAATAATTTGCTATATAATTACTATTATTTATGGACATTTGCATGTCTATAAATTACATATCATGGATATAAAATAGATATCCACCATGGACTGGACATTCAGTGGATATTGGGATGTTCAATAGATGTCCAAAGGATTTGGTGTGCTGTCTGGGTGGCTCCTTGGTCGAGGTCGCCTAGCGCTTAAAAGCCTAGAACGACAATGGACGTGTTGTGAGTTCGAATCCTGCTCAGGTCAAGTGATTTTTAATAACAAAAAATGAGTGAATAGCGGATTACGAAAATAATAAATACATTTTTAATAATATAAAGTGTGTGGTAAAAAAAAGTGGGAATGTGGTCTCTATGGAATATAATCCAGGAATTGACGTTTTTTTGAATGTCCAGTATTCAACGTCCAAATATAATCCAGAATTGGATGTTCTATGAATGGTCAAAAGTGTGCCATTTGTATACTTCACTGGACGTGCATTGGATGTCGGAAGTCTAGAACTCATTTTTGGATTAAAATTTAATAGTAAAAGGTTGTTAAAATGCCTAAGTTTATCGTCAACATTATTCATGTAATAAATACCTTCAAAATCAGAAGCGATGATTTATCAATATTTTCTAATTTCAAATTTCTGGCATAACTTACATATTATCCAAGGAGATTGAGTTGCACATTTAAACATTTACTGCGAGCATCTGTCTCTGTAAGGAGGGGGAGGGTGAGTTGATCCACAGTACCTAAGACTCACTAGGCCCATTGTGCATCCTCCCGGGGCAAATAGGACCTACCTCTCAGCTCATCAAGTCTGCCAGTTGACAAGTCGCCGAGAAGTGTCTAAGGATGCGCCGAGAAGTGTCTAAGGATGGCCAACTTGTCGGCTCGTCAGTCCCGCAGGACAATAACGTCGCTGAGGCGTCACTAGATGCCCCATTTTTAGAAGTGGTCATTTGGTGGGCTTCTACTACCTCTATGGTAAATGCTATTCTGCCCACCCACTCCATAGAGCAAGTGAATATACACTAATCATTCATTTTAATTTCTTAACAAATAATATGTAATGGGAACATTTTTAACGCTATATTAAATATTCATATCTATTTTCAAAATATTTTATTGCAAAAACTTAATAAGTATAATTAAAATAACTATATTAGTCTGAAGAATCACTGTGGCAATTATTAGGATCAAAATCTTCATCATCTTCATCATCAATATCCAAATCTTCGAGGTCTTGAAATAGTGATTCATCAACTTTGACTGCATCTCCTTCATCCAAGAACTTGAGATCTGATTCATTTAATGTATTATCAGTCATAAATAATTCTCTACCAGTCAGTTTCTTTCCTTCTTTCTCTAGTAGTTCCTTTTTCTTTGTTATACCTATTAAAATTTTTATTACAAGTTGAATAATTATAATAATTATTTATTTTAACAATTTAATTTAAAATTTTATATATAGAAGTGTGATGTTACTGTTCTCTCAATCAAATTATTTTTGATCTATTTTAGCTAAAGGAGATTATAGATTATAATATGTCCATATTTGAATGAAAATCGAAGTTCGAGTATAATTGCTGCAAATTTCAAGCGATGCACTAGAATTTAGAGAGGGGTAGTAACAAATCCGTAAATGTACAGTACTTTTGCGGATGTTTTATCTTTAAATTGTCATAGTTTACCTGAACATTGATTTTAGTTCAAAGACAGGCTTGGTGAAGACCGGTTTATAATTATCATACAACCTCCCCTCCCCCACTAGTCACCCCATTTATCAACTTGTTTAAAATAAAATTCTGTGGTAATTGACTTCTGTATGGAAATTCCCACATTTGAGATAAATTTATTTATATATATTTATAGTGACTAAAAAAATATTTAAATTTCGCCCAAAGAGTCTAATCTAAAGTCGCAAAAGAGATTACATTCAACCTTTTAACGATTCTTTTAAATTACGTTTTTGGTTTTGTCACTTTATTATTAAGTGTGCAACATGCTTAATATATTCCAAGAAAAATAAAGAATACATCAAACAAAATATAGACAATGACCTGATATTAATTAAAGATTGGCCAAATTTTTACAAATCGTCCTAACAGCAAAAAAATTCTACTTATATAGTTAGCTTATCACTAAATGGGGAAAGACTCAGCAAAACACAAGTGTTTAAAATACCTTAACCTGCATATTGACTTTAAATTATCCTGGGAGCAACACGTTAATCACATTTGCAAAAAAATGCATCATTCATTGGTATCTTGGGCAAAACATCCTTCCACCTCACGTTGATGATTTCAATTCCCTTGTTCACTCTTATCTGACTTACCTAACATTATTATGGATATAAAAATACACCCACTTTTAACATTGCAAAACAAAGCAATTAAAAAAGTTTTTGGGTTGCCACATTTAAATCTTACTGTTAACCTCTATCTACCAATTATAATAATGAACATTACTCAAAATATACACATCAAGCTTGCACACATATCCATAAATGCCTACACAAAGATCAATACTAACTTACAAAGGCCAAAGTGCTCAGAACCTGCAAATAATGACTATAATCTATAATCCTATTCAGTGATTTTAATTACAAGGAAATAAACTGGGAAGCTAACGATTTGAACGAACCAAACATTGCAGCATGTAATTTCCTAGAAGCATAGAGTGACACTCATCTAGTAGATAACCCCACACGATATAGAAATGGAGATATATCCTCACAACTAGATCTTTTGTCACAGAAGAGAACCTGATAACAGAATTACACCATAAGGCACCAATTGGAAAAAGTGATCACGAAGTGCTCTCAGCTAAATATAAATAGTGAAAACAAGCGACCACATCTAAATTTCTGGGCAGCCAACTATGAACAAATTAGAGAAGAAATTTTAAAAAACGATTTAGTGAGAAACTGTTCAGCATATGAAAATTCTAAAACACTCATGAGTAGAATAAGTACAAATTTAATACCGCTTAAGAAACGTCCAAAAACCTACAATAAACCATGGATAAAAAAAAATCATTTAACAAAAATAAACAGAAAAAGAAGGCTTTAGCACACATATCGAAACAGTAAAGACTCTATGGATTATGAAAGTTATAAAAGGCTTAATGATATTGTGAATGAACTTTGTGTAGCAAGAATAGACTATGACTTCTTATCAGTAGACCAAAACAATTCTCAGTGGACCTAAACAATTCTATAAATTCACAATCAGCTCAATTCAAAGATCAATGCCTTAAGGGGGGGTAAGGTTAATTCGTGCAAAAAGGCACATTTTGTGAATTTTTTTTTTGACGACACAGTCATCTATTTATTTAAATTAATGGTACATTAGAGTAAAACATTCAAAGAATATTGTGTCAAATTTTCATGTAGAAATATTAAAAAATACGGAAATGGCAGCAATTATTCGGGAGCGTCTCGGAAAAAAGTAGAACTGCGGTGCCCCTCCTAACTCGGTGCTGGATCATCAGAATTAAAAAAATCAAAGTTCTCTCGTTAGATAATCGTTTTCCCCAGGTAACGCTGGGAGGGTTTTTCGAAATTTCAATTTTTCACTTTTCTGGAACACTTTGAAGTAAAAAACGCGATTCTTGCGAGAGAAAAAAAAAGCTAATTTGTTATTATAAAATAAAATAAAAAAATATTAACAAATTTGAAAAAAACTCTTCAGCTTTACCTCGTAAATTATGTTTAGAAATAGTGTTCAAAATTTCAAAAGGATGGGCGTAGTAGTTTTGAAGTTATGAGGGGTCCCGACTTTGGAAATGTGAGTTGTGGGAAAAACACTTTAAAGTTTTGAACACTAAAAAATTTGAAATAAAACGTTAATAACCGAGTTTTATCGTCTTATCTCACACTGAATCATCGATGCCAAGTCTATAAAGGATGTTGCTATCATTCATGATGTCTAAAGCATCTTTTTGCTCCTGTCTACGACGAATCCTCATTCATAAGCGCTTGATCCACTACTGATTCTCATGTCTTGCATGTAGGTTAGTAAAGCAAAAGAACATGCCAGGCCAATGCTACACTAAATTATATACAGTACAGGTATAAACACGTTTGTCTTGTGTTAAAATTTCTATAGAGAAAGGTAGGAGGTAATGTTACGGATTATATAGAAACAGCTGCCAGGCAAGGGCGGCTCAGAGACGAATTTTCGGTGGGGGCCATTGCCTTTAGCCATTCTCTTTATTAGCATATTTTTTTGAATAAAAGGATCATAAATCATAAGAATTTTCATCTCGGGGGACATGGCCCCCATAGCCCCTCCCCCCTGGAGCCGCCCTTGCTGCCAGGTAACAATAGCGTGCTCAGACCGGGCAGGTATTTTCTGATGCGCTGAGTCATGTATGAGGCACGGTTACTCAAACCGCTGTATCTTCGTTAGTTTCGCTCCAATTCATCTCAAATTTTCACACAATATTCTTGAAAGGTTGTCCATTCACAAAATCAAATATAAAAAATGCAAAAAAAAGTTTAAAAACTTTACTCTCCCCTTAATTCTGAGAAACCATGACAATCACGTTATCTCTGAATCTCAACTGGTAGCAGACATAATCTCCATATATTATCCTTTTATCAGACACAAGATCTGCATTAATCTAACACATCAAAAAATAATTGAAGGATCGGTCATCGGGCTCCTACTATTTATAATAAGCTCAGACCTCTCCCAAAATATGATGTGCACACTTAGGTTCTTTGCAGATGACACAAAAATGTTCTGTGGCCTATCAATTCAACATGGGCAGCTCACTGAGGATCTAGCAACTGGTTTATACGCTTAAATGCCCAGAAATGCTGTGTACTCTACCTAGGTTCAACTAACCCCTGCCTTGAATACAACCCCCACAATAACCAGCTAGCAGCCACAAACAAAGAGAATGCCTATTGCATCAGACCTTAAATGGGCAGCACATGTTGAAAAGGTAGGTAGAAGACAAATACTATGATCTATCTGATAAGACGGTCATTTAATCATATCACTGAGGAGATGTTTCTGATGATGTATAAATCCTACATCAGATCAGTTCTTGAGCAAGCAGTAGTAGTCGGACCCTCATATTGTCATATTTCATCAAGGATATTGAGCTTGACAGAAAAACGAGATCAATTATTTACACGGACATAACCTAAAACTGCAAACTGAGAGAAGCCAGAAACTTTGCCGTAGAAATTTCCTGACAAACAGAGACAACAAAAAGAAATCTAATATTTAATATTAAAAATAAAATACCTAGATCATCTTCAAATATTTTCTTCCACCTCATAAAAGTTTCAACAGTAACCCTTGTTCCTTCAAATCTCTTTTGTTCTGCTTCTTCCTCTTCCTTTAGTTTCTTCGCTATCCTTTCTTCGTTTTCCTTTTTAATTTCTTCCCATTTTACATTCAACCATTCCTGGGCACTAGAAACTATGGTGAATACCATAACCATACCTAAATTCTCCTTTATTTGCTCACTTAAATAATTTAACAGCAACTGCTCATATTCATTATCAAAATTTTCTATATTTTCTAGTTCTATAAGAGGTCCTTCTTCAGGATACTTTGGAGTATAAGTAATAACGAGGTCACAGCTTAGTCCATTGGAAGCATCTGATTCAAATTCTTCCGTTTTTATTGGAATTGAAAACTTATGTGTTGGTTCAGTGGACAAAATCTCAAAGTCGCCATAATAAATAGACTCCAACGCCTCGATTTCATTTTTCTGTTCCTCTTGATAGTCCATATTTAATGTTTATTAATTGGAAATAAGTGTAAACATTAATAGATTTTTTTTCATTAATATAATCAAAAAATAATTCTTAAATTTATAAGTACATTGACACCTATAACCTCAAAACTTGAAAACTTCTTCTTCTTCTCTAGTTCTATATCTCTAGAGTCTAGTTACCCGTGAGTTACCCGATCGCATGACCACTTGCCACTTGTAGCGAGGAATTCAGCCACCATAGTTCAGGGCCGTATTTATAAACAAAACTCAGCTGAGTCGGACTTGGGCGTGGACTTGGGTAAGTCGTCCTTGAACGAAAATCGAAGTTCGGTTATATCGCGTGAATTTAGAGATGGGTAGTAACAAATCTGTAAATGTACATAACAATTACAGATTTGCTAATATCCATCTCTAAATTCCAGTTTAACACCAGAACCACCTAGAACTTTAGAGACGTTGTAACCGAACTTTGATTTTAGTTCAAGGACGACTTACCCAAGTCCGACTCACGTAAGTTCTGTTTATAAATACGGGCCTCATTTATAATAGGCCCGTATTTTATTTTTAAAATAATATTTAAATGCTGAAATTTGATTTCAAAACACATTTGGATCAGAATGATTACGTTCAGTGAGCACTTGGAAAGATCGAGTGCAGTAACACGTACCCCCCGTGTTTCGTCATATATTCAAATGCACGAGTTAGCAATCTAATATTTATTAGATATTGGGTGCTATGATTGAACGTTTACGTTATCCGTAACGTACATGTTAGGCCGAGTTTTAACAGTAAAGAGACAAATTCGTATGATGTAAAGTCTTTCATAACACATTATTGTTATTTTCCGCCTGTTATGTTCTAATTTAACAGGTTTCCATCATACGAACTTGCCTCGTTACTTTTAAAATTCGGCCTAACATGTACGTTACGGATAACGTAAACGTTCAATCATAGGGCCCATACTCATTGCGTTCGGTCTGCCACGTTCCTTTCCCTCCTTTAACACTTTTAACTCCAAACGACCCTCTTAGCGTTCGGTTTAGTCCGATTAGTGACAGTTTAACACGCTTAAATGTCATTTAAAAGCACCCTAAAATTTGTCTTGCTCCAGCCCCTGACTATCCGAACTCGCCTATCATTGTCCTTAAACATAGAACACAAATTACAATCTCGTGGAGTTCCATGAAAATTTAAAAAATTGAACTAGAATTATTTATTAATCGTGTTTTTATCCATTGCATAAAAAATAATTGGGTCATTAGCAGAAGTAAATTTTATTAGTAATAAAGTCATTACTGTTTTTAGTTTGCAAAATTTCAGACCTTTCAAGGGACGGAACATCCCATATTACGTAATATAACGTCACGGAACATTATTGGTCATGAGATGTGGGGAATCTCCCACTGCCAAATGTATTCAAATCCAGGTCCAAAGGTCGCCCGTCGTCCTCCTCACTAGACACTTGCCAATCACAAGGTCAATTTTAAACCATTTTCAATAATTTGGATTTTCCAAAGGTTTGTTGGATGTAATCTGGTTATTAGCTAGTTTAATTTTGTTTTTTATTGCACTGCATTTTATTGTCACTGTTTATTGTTTCCTTCACTTATTTCAACCAGCTTGCAAAATGTCTGTTAATAGTAAGTAATTTTAGTTTGATATTTGTCCTTAAAATATTACGTGCAAATATGTAATGGTGATGGTGAAATTACACAGTTATTTATCATTTTTAGCGATGACTGAGCCACCAAGAATCTTCTATGAAGAAGAAACTCAATCTAACCGTCTTCTCAGGAAATCCAAAGAAACTCCTTTCTTTCCTATCGGTGAGCATTTTTTATTATTATAACTAGTTTAATACATTATAGTAGAAATTGTTTTACAAAATATGTTAAGTTTGATTTAAAAAACTACCTAGCAGTACCTGAAATTTAATTACATCATTAGACAATATATCTGGGAATGACTATTTACAAGAGATAAATTAAGAAAGAAGTCTATATCATCCAGGGTTGCCTCTAGTTCTGCTTTCTTCCTATAGTCAATTGTGGGTAGGATTGTCGACTTCTTTTTTAATTTACATCTACCTTTCTACCAAGAATGGAAACAATAATTCTTTTTTAACATGTACTTTTGTGTATGTCTGTGGTTATATTTTGTTATGGGATTAGCTCATAATCTCGTTGGCCTCCAGACAGACATTAAAAAAATACACAAATATGTAACAAATCGAGTCAAAGTGTACTGCTGAATAACATTAAATTCTTTTAAAAATGACGATTAGTTTCAGTAATGATTTTGAGTTTATCTAATACAGTTTCCATTTGTTAATTAATCAGCTAAGTACTTAGGTTTTTTTTTAATTATCAGTTAAAATGAACTTTGTTATAATCCAAGTTATCTGCTTGAAGCATTAGTATATTACTCACTATAAACAGATAAATACATTAGATATTTTTAAAATTATAAGATACCGAAATATTTATTTTATTTTCAAGTTATATAGATTGATGAGTACTCTCCACAAAGATGCATATTCCTTGAATTTTGTTTATTTGCACATGAGGGGTAAACACATCCAAAAAATGTGTACACAAGAATGCCTAACATGAAATACCTTGCTTTTAAAATTGATGGGATTTATCCGGAAAGGATAATTGACAATGCTGTTCTATTGGGTAAATTATCTTTAATGTCTAGAAGACAGGATAATATGTCAGGGCATTACTTTTATTTATAAACTAGTTAATAATTTATTGGACTGTCCAGACCTGCTATCCCAAATTAAATTTAGTGTACCTCATTTCAATACAAGATATAAAACGATATTTTACTTGCCACACCGCGAACAAATATTTTGACAAATTCACCTATCCATACCATTTGCAACAATTTTAATAGATATGCAACTGAATTAAATTTGGACATAAACTTTCTCTCTTACAAGCATTAAATGTAAAATCAATAAGTACTTACTCAGACAATATTTATAAATAGGTATAGTTTCTTTCTTTTATGTTTTATAGTGTCAGTTTAAATATGTGAAGCACAAAGCTATTAATTTAAGTATTTTAAGTTATTTTCTTTAAATTAGATATACTTATATGTATACATATATTTTTTTATTGTATGTGTCCTCAATTGGGGTTTAACCTGTTTGGACAATAAAGTTATTTTTTTTATAAAGAATTCCCGGGAATACCCAGAGATTTCCCAGGAATACCCAGAGACTTCCCAGGAATACCCAGAGAATAACTGAGTATATCCAGGTAATTCCCGAAAACTATATGAGAATAACCATGTATTTCTAAAGATTTCTCTAGAGTTAATAAATAAGGTCTTTAATGAGGTCCTTAGGAAAATAAACAATTGTTCCGGATTTTTAGCATTTTTTTCCCTTAATTTAGATTATATTTTACATTGATAAAATTTGAGAAATAAAAAGATAAGATATTAACTGTGGGAAAAAATATATAAAAGTCATGTTAATAAAAAATGAAACATTTAACTTTTTAACATTTCGCTTCCTTAATATTTGACAAATTAATGAACATATAATCGTCATCGTTTGCATATAATCTTAGTTGTACAATTTCAACTGGAAGCAAATTATAAATGAATGAATTATTTATTGCCCAACAGATTTTACATCCAAAGAGAACAAAATAAATAAGGACCAAGATAGTAACAAAAAAATGAACAAAATTTATATAAATAAAGTTAAGTTTTTCAAAAAATATATCACAATTATAACAAAAAATATTGGCATTTTGACACATAATATATATTGGTGATTTTATTAGCAGGTTAGTTCTGGGAACGGGAAGAGGGAATGTGTTGTTGGTTGTCTAAGCATTTTGGTATGTTACTAATGCTACATTTTAAAACTACCTCCTGGAGCAGAGTAGAGCTAGTAGATTTTTTAGTCACGTGATCATCGAGCTTATGTGGAATGAAAGAATGTATATGGATTTGTTTGTTTCCCGTTTCCATTAAAATAACACACTTAAACCTTTCTTTTAAATCAAATTTGATCTCTCTTCTCGTGGTTTTGTTGCAAGTTGCAAAGTAAAGCTAATTTTTAGCTGTGGTATTTTTCGCTTTTTGCTTTCAATAGAAAATAAACCATGTTCTCATTTCCGTCTGACATTTTTTAAAAATATTTTTTGCTCTTAATAACCAGACATATAAATACAATGAAAAACAATAAACTGTGACACAAGAGACAATGGACGACTGTCTGCACATTTTACAGACGTGTACATTTACTCCGAAAGCTCTAAAATTTTATTCGGAGTAAATAGATATTACTTGACTTACCAGCTCTGCATTAAAAGACCACAGAGTAGATCCCATCGAGAAGCCACATATGTATTAAAAGAACTGCTTCAAATAAAATGAGGTACTTTCAAATGCAGCATAAAAACTCAAGTAAAATAGAACAATCAATTCTCTATTTTTAAATTGTAGGGATTGACATTAACTTTCTTTGAATTTACGTTGCACCCGTTCTATGCTGTTCTTCTGCAACCCTATCTTCAGATACCTAATCAAAGAAGCATATTCCAACTTGGGACGAACCAATGAAAAATACAATGAATATAAAGAAGGGAGAATGGTATAGTTAAAATTTATTGTGTTGACTTTTCTGAAGTCATATAAAAAATTTTGAAAAAATACTTTTAAATTATCTGCAAATAATTTGAAATATGTGATATAGTCAGTGACATCATTGATAAAATAAGAAAAGTAGTGGAACCATATTAGACCCTTAAGGAACTCCTGAGGTAGCGTAAAATATATTTGAAGAAAATTCATTTAAATAAATTGTTGACAAGATAAATATTAGAGGAAAAATTTGTTAAAATTACATCTCTTTACCACAATTATCTAAAGTCATGTCGATGGTTAAGAAGACAAAAATAATAGTAAATAATACGAGAGTTATCAAGAATGTAACTTACTTCATTAATTTAGAAAACTTGAAGGTAGTAACGCCCTCTAACTTACATCTCGAGTAAAGTGCATCTCGTTATCACAAAAATATCATAATATCATTTTTATTTCACTTTGTTTTTGTTTCATGTCTCTATCTTCTTCCATTTAGAAGTTAAAAGGGAAAGCACAATTTACATCCTCAATGTTTATTATAATCATACAAAATATCCCTTCTCATTTCTGACAAAA